GGAAAGAAGAGAGTCTAGGAGAGAGAGAAAACATATTAAATTCTTATTCTTCCAAATATAATACGTATATTATGTGGGAGAGTCATAACTCTATCTCGTCAAGCGATGAGATAGTGGGTTAATCACACAAGCGTACTTCGACTAGGTCTCTCTTTATGGGTCTTAGGTCATGCTACCATTTCCACTCAAGCTTAACATTAAAAGATGCAAAAATATTAAAGGCAAACAATAAACTCTTTGTAATAACATTAAAGCACTTGAAGAAAGCACAAACGTCATCATGAACCTCAAGAATTGATTGAACCGCTGAGTTGTGGATAAAAAGCAGTCAGTCAGTGCTTTGTGTCTTTTGTTGGGTTTGGGATGGATGGTGAGCAAGAACCCATGGGTAAGTAAACAATTCCCTAATATAAAAGCACCCTAGACTCTCTCACTCATAATGAGACAGCCTTAATGTCCTCCCCTCTAAAAAAATATAGTACAATGTAGAACTCCTTACAATAGCCGTTGCAATTATAAATTATAGATTTCTCTATCATGCATTACAGGCATGTTGTGTGGGGTAATTTTGTAGGCATGGAAAATGATTTTGGAGACACAAGGTGCTAAAAATAGATAGTTGATTATGCAGCACAACCCATAGGTTTTGACACAGTTGTAATAACGGCCTAACCCAACAAACCGTCCTTACAAATTGATTATGGAGCGATTACAACTCTCTTAAACTATGACTCATTTGCACTTGAACTTCCAAACACAAAAGTTAACCACCTCGAACAATTATACTATAACACTTGACACCTCCCATTACAATTTTGTCCCAGATTTAAATCGAATCAAATCATATGTGAAGCATATGACACACTTATTAATTTTTTAGGACAACAATACTGATTTTTATTATTTTTAAGACAATAATACCCTTATCAAATCTTCGTTATCTTTGAGGCAAATTATAACTGGGATCAACTTTTTAATAAATATTTCACTAGATTAGGGCATAACTGCCCTAAAAATTTAATAAATGTTTCATACACTTTACATATGATTTAATTTTGTATAAATTCCTAAAAGAATCGTAACATAATAGGTCAACTTTTTTAAAACAAAAGTAAGTATGTGGGACATTGGCAAGTGTAAATTCAGGCTTCATATGTATAACATTGAACTACCACTACAAGTAGTTTAAATTCCTAAACTTTTGAAGCTTCAACAAGTCAAAAGTAGTTTCATAGGCAAGTTTATCTACCACCAAACTTGTTGGAAATTGGGTCGGGTTTAAAATCCATTCCTGATTGGATCGCTCATAGTAGCATGACCTAAGACCCATAAGGAGAGACCTAGTCAAAGTACGCTTGGATTAACCCACTATCTCATCGCTTGACGAGATAGAGTTATAACTCTCCCACATAATATACGTATTATATTTGGAAGAATAAGAATTTAATGTGTTTTCTCTCTCCTAGACTCTTGTTTCTCTTTCCATAAAAACACATAGTAGCTCTTTGTACTGCGACGAGTGTGCGTAGTTCTAATAATTTTACTCCATTGCTAAGAATTATTTAAGAATATTAATGAAAACACTTAATAGCCCTTTGTACTGTGACGAGTGTGCGTAGTTCTAATAATTTTACTCCATTGCTAAGAATTATTTAAGAATATCAATGAAAACACATAATAGCCCTTTGTACTATGACGAGTGTGGATAGTTCTAATAGTTCAACTCCATTGCTAAGAATTATTCAAAAATATCAATAGAAACATGTATGATCTATGGATTTGGTTTGAATGAAAAGGTATATCAAATCCATTTATTTCTGAGGCATAATATTTCTTATTTTTCCTACAAAACCAAAGCACAAAGGAGCAAAATGAGAGACAAAATAACTCGCAAGTTCAGAAGTCAAATGATTTTTGTCGTCTTGCACATTTAGGTCTAGTTGCAGCTTATTTCCAGTAACTATGCAAGCCTGGCGCACTCCGATACGAGTGCCTGCAACTTGAGCCTCTAATTTGTTGTACTGAGATTGCAGAGTCTCGGGATCAAATTCCCTAGCTTCTGGGAGTAAACTCTTCCCCAACTTGATCTCTTGAATTTCTTTCCTCAACTTCATCTCCCAAAATGTTTTCCGATCCTCACTCAAATCTGGGTGCATAAGTTCGAAATTCGATTTCTTCATAGCCTCGTTTTGCTTCTCCAGTTCCGAAATCTGATTCGCCAGCCCAATCTCTTCTTGCGATGTCTCCATTTGCTTTTCAGATATAAATCTCTTAGTCGTAGAGACAAGACAGATAGCTTACTCGCTTCACTACACTAATGGCCTATGTCAGCGTTGGTCCTGCTGCTCAGGTTAGGGTTGTAGTGTAGTGCAGTGAAGTGAGTAAGCTATCTGTCTTGTCTCTACGACTAGGAGATTTATATCTGAAAAACAAATGGAGATATCGCAAGAAGAGATTGGGCTGGCAAATCAGATTTCAGAACTGGAGAAGCAAAACGAGGCTATGAGGAAATCGAATTTCGAATTTATGCGTCCAGATTTGAGTGAGGATTAGAAAACATTTTGGGAGATGAAGTTGAGGAAGGAAATTCAAGAGATCAAGTTGGGGAAGAGTTTACTCCCAGAAGCTAGGGAATTTGATCTTGAGACTCTGCAATCTCAGTACAACAAATTAGAGGCTCAAGTTGCAGGCACTCGTATCAGAGTGCGCCAGGCTTGCATAGTTACTGGAAATAAGCTGCAACTAGACCTAAATGTGCAAGAGGGACAAAAATCATTTGACTTATGAGCTTGTGAGTTATTTTGTCTCTCATTTTGCTCTTTTGTGCTTCGGTTTTGTAGGAAAAATAAGAAAAATTTTGCCTCAGAAATAAATGAATTTGATATACCTTTTCATTCAAACCAAATCCATAGATCATACGTGTTTCTATTGATATTTTTGAATAATTCTTAGCAATGGGGTAGATCTATTAGAACTATCCACACTCGTCGCTGTACAAAGGGCTATTATGTGTTTTTATCGATATTTGTAAATAATTCTTAGCAATGGAGAAACTATTAGAATTACTCACACTTGTCACAGTACAAAGGGTTATTATGTGTTTTTATGGAGAGGGAAAGAAGAGAGTCTAGGAGAGAGAGAAAACATATTAAATTCTTATTCTTCCAAATATAATACGTATATTATGTGGGAGAGTCATAACCCTATCTCGTCAAGCGATGAGATAGTGGGTTAATCCAAGCGTACTTTGACTAGGTCTCTCCTTATGGGTCTTAGGTCATGCTACCATGAGCGATCCAATCAGGAATGGATTTTAAACCCGACCCAATTTCCAACAAGTTTGGTGGTAGATAAACTTGCATATGAAACTACTTTTGGCTTGTTGAAGCTTCAAAAGTTTAGGAATTTTAAAATCCATTCCTGATTGGATCGCTCATGGTAGCATGACCTAAGACCCATAAGGAGAGACCTAGTCAAAGTACGCTTGGATTAACCCACTATCTCATCGCTTGACGAGATAGAGTTATGGGTGTTATAACTCTCCCACATAATATACGTATTATATTTGGAAGAATAAGAATTTAATATGTTTTCTCTCTCCTAGACTCTCTTCTTTCCCTCTCCATAAAAACACATAATAGCCCTTTGTACAGCGACGAGTGTGGATAGTTCTAATAGATCTACCCCATTGCTAAGAATTATTCAAAAATATCAATAGAAACACGTATGATCTATGGATTTGGTTTGAATGAAAAGGTATATCAAATTCATTTATTTCTGAGGCATAATATTTCTTATTTTTCCTACAAAACCAAAGCACAAAGGAGCAAAATGAGAGACAAAATAACTCGCAAGTTCAGAAGTCAAATGATTTTTGTCGTCTTGCACATTTAGGTCTAGTTGCAGCTTATTTCCAGTAACTATGCAAGCCTGGCGCACTCTGATACGAGTGCCTGCAACTTGAGCCTCTAATTTGTTGTACTGAGATTGCAGAGTCTCAAGATCAAATTCCCTAGCTTCTAGGAGTAAACTCTTCCCCAACTTGATCTCTTGAATTTCCTTCCTCAACTTCATCTCCCAAAATGTTTTCTAATCCTCACTCAAATCTGGACGCATAAATTCGAAATTCGATTTCTTCATAGCCTCGTTTTGCTTCTCCAGTTCCGAAATCTGATTCGCCAGCCCAATCTCTTCTTGCGATGTCTCCATTTGCTTTTCAGATATAAATCTCCTAGTCGTAGAGACAAGACAGATAGCTGACTCGCTTCACTACACTAATGGCCTATGTCAGCGTTGGTCCTGCTGCTCAGGTTAGGGTTGTAGTGTAGACATCAGCGTTGGTCCTGCTGCTCAGGTTAGGGTTGTAGTGTAGACATCAGCGTTGGTCCTGCTGCTCAGGTTAGGGTTGTAGTGTAGACATCAGCGTTGGTCCTGCTGCTCAGGTTAGGGTTGTAGTGTAGTGCAGTGAAGTGAGTAAGCTATCTGTCTTGTCTCTACGACTAGGAGATTTATATCTGAAAAACAAATGGAGATATCGCAAGAAGAGATTGGGCTGGCAAATCAGATTTCAGAACTGGAGAAGCAAAACGAGGCTATGAAGAAATCGAATTTCGAATTTATGCGTCCAGATTTGAGTGAGGATTAGAAAACATTTTGGGAGATGAAGTTGAGGAAGGAAATTCAAGAGATGAAGTTGGGGAAGAGTTTACTCCCAGAAGCTAGGGAATTTGATCCCGAGACTCTGCAATCTCAGTACAACAAATTAGAGGCTCAAGTTGCAGGCACTCGTATCAGAGTGCGCCAGGCTTGCATAGTTACTGGAAATAAGCTGCAACTAGACCTAAATGTGCAAGACGACAAAAATCATTTGACTTCTGAGCTTGTGAGTTATTTTGTCTCTCATTTTGCTCCTTTGTGCTTTGGTTTTGTAGGAAAAATAAGAAATATTATGCCTCAGAAATAAATGGATTTGATATACATTTTCATTCAAACCAAATCCATAGATCATACGTGTTTCTATTGATATTTTTGAATAATTCTTAGCAATGGGGTAGATCTATTAGAATAGACTCTCTTCTTTCTCTCTCCATAAAAACACATAATAGCCCCTTTGTACTGTGACGAGTGTGGATAGTTCTAATAGTTCAACTCCATTGCTAAGAATTATTTAAGAATATCAATGAAAACACATAATAGCCCTTTGTACAGCGACGAGTGTGGATAGTTCTAATAGTTCAACTCCATTGCTAAGAATTATTTAAGAATATCAATGAAAACACATAATAGCCCTTTGTACTGTGACGAGTGTGGATAGTTCTAATAGTTCAACTCCATTGCTAAGAATTATTTAAGAATATCAATGAAAACACATAATAGCCCTTTGTACTGTGACGAGTGTGGATAGTTCTAATAGTTCAACTCCATTGCTAAGAATTATTTAAGAATATCAATGAAAACACATAATAGCCCTTTGTACTGTGACGAGTGTGGATAGTTCTAATAGTTCAACTCCATTGCTAAGAATTATTTAAGAATATCAATGAAAACACATAATAGCCCTTTGTACTGTGACGAGTGTGGATAGTTCTAATAGTTCAACTCCATTGCTAAGAATTATTCAAAAATATCAATAGAAACACGTATGATATATGGATTTGGTTTGAATGAAAAGGTATATCAAATCCATTTATTTCTGAGGCATAATATTTCTTTTTTTTCCTACAAAACCAAAGCACAAAGGAGCAAAATGAGAGACAAAATAACTCGCAAGTTCAGAAGTCAAATGATTTTTGTCGTCTTGCACATTTAGGTCTAGTTGCAACTTATTTACGGTAACTATGCAAGCCTGGCGCACTTTGATACGAGCACCTGCAACTTGAGCCTCTAATTTGTTATACTGAGATTGCTGAGTCTTTGGATCAAATTCCCTAGCTTTCTGGAGTAAATTCTTCCCCAACTTGATCTCTTGAATTTCCTTCCTCAACTTCATCTCCCAAAATGTTTTTCGATCCTCACTGAATTCTGGACGCATAAGTTCGAAATTCGATTTCTTCATAGCCTCGTTTTGCTTCTCAAGCCGATCCTCACTCAAATCTGGGCGCATAAGTTCGAAATTTGATTTCTTCATAGCCTCGTTTTGCTTCTCCAGTTCCGAAATCTGATTCGCCAGCCCTATCTCTTCTTGCGATGTCTCCATTTGCTTTTCAGATATAAATCTCCTAGTCGTAGAGACAAGACAGATAGCTTACTCGCTTCACTACACTAATGGCCTATGTCAGCGTTGGTCCTGCTGCTCAGGTTAGGGTTGTAGTGTAGTGCAGTGAAGTGAGTAAGCTATCTGTCTTGTCTCTACGACTAGGAGATTTATATCTGAAAAACAAATGGAGATATCGCAATAAGAGATTGGGCTGGCAAATCAGATTTCAGAACTGGAGAAGCAAAACGAGGCTATGAAGAAATCGAATTTTGAAATTTATGCGTCCAGATTTGAGTGAGGATTAGAAAACATTTTGGGAGATGAAGTTGAGGAAGGAAATTCAAGAGATCAAGTTGGGGAAGAGTTTACTCCCAGAAGCTAGGGAATTTGATCCCGAGACTCTGCAATCTCAGTACAACAAATTAGAGGCTCAAGTTGCAGGCACTCGTATCAGAGTGCGCCAGGCTTGCATAGTTACTGGAAATAAGCTGCAACTAGACCTAAATGTGCAAGACGACAAAAATCATTTGACTTCTGAGCTTGTGAGTTATTTTGTCTCTCATTTTGCTCTTTTGTGCTTCGGTTTTGTAGGAAAAATAAGAAATATTATGCCTCAGAAATAAATGGATTTGATATACGTTTTCATTCAAACCAAATCCATAGATCATACGTGTTTCTATTGATATTTTTGAATAATTCTTAGCAATGGGGTAGATCTATTAGAACTATCCACACTCGTCGCTGTACAAAGGGCTATTATGTGTTTTTATGGAAAGAGAAACAAGAGTCTAGGAGAGAGAAAACACATTAAATTCTTATCCTTCCAAATATAATACGTATATTATGTGGGAGTGTTATAACGCCCATAACTCTATCTCGTCAAGCGATGAGATAGTGGGTCAATCACACAAGCGTATTTCGACTAGGTCTCTCTTTATGGGTCTTAGGTCATGCTACCATGAGCGATCCAATCAGGAATGGATTTTAAACCCGACCCAATTTCTAACAAGTTTGGTGGTAGATAAACTTGCATATGAAACTACTTTTGGCTTGTTGAAGCTTTAAAAGTTTAGGAATTTAAACTAGTTATAGTGGTAGTTCAATGTTATACATATGAAGCCTGAATTTACACTTGCCAATGTCCCACATACTTACTTTTGTTTTAAAAAAGTTGACCTATTATGTTACGATTCTTTTAGGAATTTATACAAAATTAAATCATATGTAAAGTGTATGAAACATTTATTAAATTTTTAGGGCCGTTATGCCCTAATCTTGTGAAATATTTATTAAAAAGTTGATCCCAGTTATACTTTGCCTCAAAGATAACGAAGATTTGATAAGGGTATTATTGTCTTAAAAATAATAAAAATCAGTATTGTTGTCCTTAAAAATTTTAATAAGTGTGTCATATGCTTCACATATGATTTGATTCGATTTAAATCTGGGACAAAATTGTAATGGGAGGTGTCAAGTGTTATAGTATAATTGTTCGAGGTGGTTAACTTTTGTGTTTGGAAGTTCAAGTGCAAATGAGTCATAGTTTAAGAGAGTTGTAATCGCTCCATAATCAATTTGTAAGGACGGTTTGTTGGGTTAGGCCGTTATTACAACTGTGTCAAAACCTATGGGTTGTGCTGCATAATCAACTATCTATTTTTAGCACCTTGTGTCTCCAAAATCAATTTCCATGCTTGGAAAATTACCCCACATGCCTGTAATGCATGATAGAGAAATCTATAATTTGTAGTTGCAACGGCTGTTGTAAGGAGTTATCCATTGTACTCTGTCTTTTATAGGCGAGGATGATAAGGCTGTCTCATAATGAGTGAGAGAGTCTAGGGTGCTTTTAGATTAGGGAATTGTTTACTTACCCTTGGGTTCTTGCCGACCATTCATCCCAAACCCGACAAAAGACACAAAGCACGGATTGTTTTATCCTCAACTCAAAGGTTTAATCAATTCTTGAGGTTCACGATGACGTTTGTGCTTTCCTCAAGTGCTTTAATATTATTACATAAAGAGCTTATTGTTTGCATTTATTATTTTTACTTATTTTAATGTTAAGCTTGAGTGGAAGTGTATTTTCAGTTCTATAGCTTGTAAGTGATTGAGAGAAGAGTGTTACCAAACTTTAAGTCAGTCCAAGAAGACGGTACATTTAAAGAGAAAAGTAGGATTTAAATTAATAAATGTGTGGTTATCATAGTTGTTTTTTTTTTTTTGGGTTTTGTTCCGTACTTATTTAGAGCATGTAATTTCATAGAAAGTAAGGTGAGAAAGAGCAGGGTCTATACTTGTGCATGTGTAGTAGTTTCATTTTAATGCTTGAATTCGTTGTGAGTTGTTTTATTTTGATGTCTGAATTAATTGTGCGTTGTTATATTTTTGTCTCTACCTCGTGCAACTAGACCTAAATGTGCAAGACAACAAAAATCATTTGACTTCTGAGCTTGTGAGTTATTTTGTCTTTGCATAGTTACTGGAAATAAGCTGCAACTAGACCTAAATGTGCAAGACGACAAAAATCATTTGACTTCTGAGCTTGTGAGTTATTTTGTCTCTCATTTTGCTCTTTTGTGCTTCGGTTTTGTAGGAAAAATAAGAAATATTATGCCTCAGAAATAAATGGATTTGATATACCTTTTCATTCAAACCAAATCCATAGATCATACGTGTTTCTATTGATATTTTTGAATAATTCTTAGCAATGAGGTAGATCTATTAGAACTATCCACACTCGTCGCTGTACAAAGGGCTATTATGTGTTTTTATGGAAAGAGAAACAAGAGTCTAGGAGAGAGAAAACACATTAAATTCTTATTCTTCCAAATATAATACGTATATTATGTGGGAGAGTCATAACTCTATCTCGTCAAGCGATGAGATAGTGGGTTAATCCAAGCGTACTTTGACTAGGTCTCTCCTTATGGGTCTTAGGTCATGCTACTAT